ATACTTTTAGAAATACCTAAAAAGTATTGAAAAAAACAACTACTTGTCAATGAGAGGTACTAATTCTGAGCAACACTCATTTGTAGTAGGGGCAACCTGTGTTTGGTGGCTCCCTGGATTCATGAGAACACAATTTTGCCGTCTGTGAAAACCCTGCCATTGGAGCTAAACCTTTAAAATAGAACGTAACCCAGCAAGTCAGGTGAGCGCAAGGCACCCTGGGCCTGGAGTCAGAGAGCTGAGTCTGGTTAAGTCTGGCTGCTTCTGACCTGGGGAGCCTCGAGTGTTTACTTGATTTCTCTGACTTCATGCTATAGATGAGGAAACTAAGGGGGTTGGCCGCTAAAAGGTTTCTTTCCCTTCTAAAATTCTATATTCTAAGTGTCTTTTTAATAATTTCTAAGAAAGAAGGTGAAGTTTTAATAAAACTACATAAAAACAAGAAGTCTTCTCAGTTTAATGCAGTTGTAAGGCACAGAAAAGAGGTGTGGGCTCACAGCCCAGCCGTGGTGCTGTGTTAAATCCAGAATCGTCATCACAGGGGCAGAATAGGTTTCGTCTGGGCAAAGGTGGATTGTGGGAAATCAGCTGTGATCAAACAGTTCAAGGTTCCAATGGATTCTGGGAAACCCCTAAAGAAGTTCATGTCACCTCCTGTCTCCCTGCTCATCTGATGAGCTGGCCAAGTGCCCTCCCTGCTTCTGTAGGACGCCCTGGGCAGGGTCGTGTTGTTCTCTTCTTGATCACCATCAGTGGCTACCCGGGACAACAGACTTTGTCAGTTTTCAATGCTGTCCTCCACTTGTCTTCCCAGATTTCCCTATCATGACTCCCTTGCGGTACAGTGGAAAGAACATGCATCATGGGCTCACGAAGACCTGGGTTCCAATCTTAGCTCTTCCACTCACTGGCAGGGTAACTCTGGGAAAGTTACTTATGATGGGTCTCCCTTTCAACATCTGTAAAATGGGAATAAGGATAGCTACCTCACAAGGATTCTTAGGGAGAGCAAACAGGGGTGTGTGTAAATCACCCAGCACCCACAGAATAGTGGGTGCTGGCCTCACGTGTTTCCTTCCTCACTTCTCTACTCCATTCTTGAGTCAGATCCAAGGCTGTTCTTCCCCAGCTCTACGTGTTTGCTCTTCTCTTCACCGGGCCCACCCTTTCTCCTCATCTCCACATGTTCTAATCTCACCCGGCCTCCAAATTTCGGTCAAAGACCTCTTCTCTCATGAAGTTGCCCTCGAGAAACCCTCTCCTCTGACATTCCAAAGAACTTGCTCCATCTAACCCCTGTGACATGTTTCTATACCATTTTACAGCAATTTACCTATTTGTTTGTCTTTTTTCCCTGCTGGTCTAGATCTATAGCATCCAGCCCAGCACACAGACCTCAGGGCTTGACAAATATTTGTTGAATGAACAGACGTGTGAACACAGAACCCAAAAGCAGCTTCTAATGTGCTTGCTTTAATAAAGACAGCACTTTAGCCACTCTCTAAGGGAAAACATCAGTTAGAGGAGGAAACAGCCGGAATCAGAAGATGAGGTGCACGCCGTGGGGTGAGAGAAAGCATCTGCCCTCCACAGGAGCCAGACAAGTTATGTGGGGAAAGCAACAGGGGGAGGAAAAGCAACAGAAGCCTGGGGCCCAGGACAGCAATGCCGAGCCACACAGTGCGAACCTGCAGAGACGAAGACCGGCCTGCACGTCGAATCAGACTTTTGGGATAAAAGAAATCGAATGAAGAACGGTGAAGGTTTGGTGGCTGCCGTGAAAACATGAAAAAAGGGAAGAACGAATAAAGAAATAGCCTCAGTTCAGAAACGCTGTTAAAAAAATAAAAACAATCAGAACTAATTTGATAGTCAATGCCAAGTGGCCTCACTTCAGTTGGTGTTGGAGAGTGTGTGTGTGTGTGTGTGTGTGTGTGTGTGTGCGTGTGCGTGTGCGTGTGCGTGTGCGTGTGCTGGTCCATTTTTGGCCCATGTTTAAAGGCATATTAATGGGTCTTCAAGTTACAGTATATCTACCTCAGTTCCAACCCCCATGATTCCTTTCCATTTATTTTGGCTTAGACCTTCTTACAATATATGATGAGCAAGAAGCCAGTGAAGCCAACTGAGAGACTTCCTTAAAGGATCTGTTGTAATAGACTTCCCATGAGTTCTTCAATATCAAGAATGTGGATTACTCAGTGGGGTTGCTGAAAGATTCTTAAAACATTTTCATTTTGCTATGGAAACTGTACTAATGTGACACCCAGTAAAAGGCCTGGAAATCTTGGCTCAAGATCTGCAATCTGTAGACACACCCTTAAGAGAGCACGAGATTTATTTCCTTTATTCAAAACCTATCCCCCCTTTAAATCTCACCAACGTCAGCACATGCCCCCACTCGGCACATCTGAACCTCTTCCCCTCAGAGCCTCATCTTCTTCTTTACTGCTGGCTCCTCCATGTGAGCCAGAGGGCTGACCTGGCCTCCCAAGTCCTCAGTGTTGGGTTTAGGAAAATAGCTTTGGAATTCTCAGGAAAGCTTCAAGAAAGGAAGAAAACAATAGCTCCTCTTGGCCAGAATGAGTGAAAGTAATTCATTGGCCGTTTTTGTAAGCTTATCCAGAAAGTTCCATCAAGATTCTATCGAGAGCATTGATGCTTATTTTGAAAATCACATTAGTAACACGATGCACAAATTCAAGCAATCCTTGGCGGGGGGGGCATATTCCATTCAGTCTGGCCCCATGAGCATACCTCTCTTCGTCCCCCAAAAGATTTCATCAAGGGTGAAGTAAAAATGATTATTCAAAAAACCAAAAGCAACACTGTAGGGATAGTGCAAGTCACTATCTACTTGGGTGGTTTCTGGCGGCGTCCCCAAGCTATGCCATGAACTTTACACTCTTACGATCAAAGTGGCAATAAGTACTAATTTTAATGTTCGAGTATTTTATAAAGATAACCCATCTCCAAAGGACCCATGCTTCCTCAAAAATTCCAGAGTCTAGGGCCGAAACGGGTGAGGGTTCCAGCTTGCATCTGCCTGGTTGATGGACTCCAGGCAGATGTACATGTGCTTGAGCTGAAGCTGAATGTTAGAAACAGATCAAAACCATTCTAATATTGGTGGACAACTTCTCTAGTTTGTCTTGTCTTTAATTAATTATTCTGAGAAAAGCAGCTTTTTTTCCCCACTTAAAATATGCTTTTGTATAATAACTGGGAACTCCAAGAGAACTGCTTTTGTTCTGGGTCACAGGGAAGGCACAAGTTTCCAAAATATTCACATAGCAAAATGTCTTCACCTGATCTTAAGGATGCCAGTTAAGAAAGACAAAAAAAAAGCAAAGGAGCTCCTGTGCATACATGTGTTTCATGAAAGGGAATAAAGAGAGGACACTGGAAAATAGCAGTTGAAATCTCAGCATGGCTGACAAAAGGATTTGAAAAGGGTCAAAGCAAATGGATCTCACTGGTAATCATTTTTTCTGAAGCCAAGTCACACATCTTTAAGTCACATATTGGTGAGAAGGCCACATGAATAAAAGATGGTGCTCTTGGTAGTGGTGGTGGGGTGACATAAATAGCTCTTTATACCTGCTAATGGTAGGTCAAGAAGAAATTATGCCATACACTAAGACCTGGCCTCCAAAATAAATCCAGGCTACTCTTTCTCTGAGACCCCAAATGAAGTCAAACTCCAGTTTTTCCACAGGTACCACTAGGTTAGCTAAACTGAAGCACTGTGGACTGGGGATCAGTCTGATCACTGCTCTGAAAAATACGTCACAGCCCAAGTGAAAAACTGGGAGTGTCTGAGCAGGGTGTAGATTAGGATCTTGACCTTACAACTGTGTACAGCGTTTTACTTCTGAAATGGATAAAATATTGTTAGCCTGCAGGTGTTTTGAGAATTGACTAAGACCAGGAAAAGGCTTTAAAGTGAGAGATGAAGAGGGTCTATCCTTTTGCCCATGTGTGCAATGTTCTAAGATAGTTACTAAAGCATTCTGATGTTACCTCAGAGTTAAGTTACAAAACAATTCAGGGCACTTGTTCACACTGATATGTCTGGGCACAGCATTATTTCTTCCAAAAGTGTCATCTGACAAACCATCAGCTTTTGGACGAAGGTTACTCCGGCAAATTTGGATTTGAGAGTTTGTTAAAATGTACCAAAAGCTGGGTAAAGGATGTGGAGTTTGGGCTGTAGTGGTGCATTATGGACTGAGTACTGAGGATGGATGTGGAGTTTGGGTTGGAGCAGTGCATTATGAACTGAGTACTGAGAGACAGATGGGGAGTGAGGGTTGGAGTGGTGCATTATGGATTGAGTACTGAGGGATGGATGTGGAGTGAGGGTTGGAGTGGTGCATTATGGACTGACTACTGAGGGATGGATGTGGAGGCTGGGATGGAGTGGTGCATTATGGACTGATTACTGAGGGATGGATGTGAAGTTAGTGTTGGAGTGGTGCATTATGGACTGAGTACTGAGGGAGGAATGTGGATTTTGAGTTAGAATGGTTCATTACAGATTGAATATTGTGGGGCAGATGTAGAGATAGGGTTGAAGTCATGCCTTATGGACTGAGTACTGAGTGATGTATGTGGAGTTTGGTGAAGTGGTGCATTATGGACTAAGTACTTATGCAAAAAGCCTGGCTAGGAGGTCACCACATGTTCCCCTTAGAATGTGATGATTCATTTTTCACATATGTATGTTTTGACTTTTCCCCCGAATGCATTGCTAAAAGCCTGACTAGTGAGGCAAGGTCTATTTTGTCCAAGGCGATCATTTGGAACAGAAACTACAATAAGAAATGTAAGGTAGAAGGGAACTCCCTTCCCTGCCCAAATGGCATTACGACTTGGTTTGCTATGGGAAAAACAAAAAAATCATGAAAACTTAATTTCACCCACACTCTACCCCCAAGAATCAGTGACTATGAAAACACATTGCCTGCCAGTGTGCCTGGGCATGATAGTTTCCTTACCCGCAGCTTTTCCTCTGTCTTGGTAGACTGCTTACAGTCGGGATGCCAAACGGTAGAACCTGGAACGACACAAAGCATCACTAAGTGTAAAGGAAATGGAAAGAAGCCATGGTCCTATCAGACAGAACATCTGCAGATGGTCATAGCCGTCTTTCCCACCATAGAGAAGTGTCACAGCCTCATGTCAAAGTGAATCGGAAACTCAAAAAAGAAACCAAATAACTCCAAAAGGCAGATTCTGGGTGAGTTCTCATCATCAAGTCTGAGCTTGTTCTGTAAAGGTCATAATTCTAGACCACAGAAACCACTGGCTGGGCACAGAATGTTTTGATTCAAGAGATATTTCATTCTTGACTGAGATCATTAAAAAACAAACACATCATTAGTCTTTAAAAGTAATGTCTGTGTACTTACTACAAACTGCATTTAATTTTAGAAATACAGGCCATGCTTATTTAACATTACAATAACCACACAATTTAGTTGAGGGAAGTAAAGTTGAACCAGATATTTCCAGAAGCAAAACTCACTGCATTTTTCACTAATCTGACTATTCAAAGTCATGTACAGATACATGGAAAGTAGAACAAACCAGCAGAAATGTTGAAAGTCACAAGGTGGGGAATCACTTTGGAGAAATCGATTTGGCCTTTGTTCTTGGGTCTTTCAAGCAGTATCAACACCTGAGGCTATTGGGTAGGGGCTGACAGACCAAAAGGGACCACCTAGGGGCCAATGCTGACTAAGCCTCAGAAGGCATGATTTAATCTCTCACGGCCACTGTGGTCAAGCTGATAAGAGCCCTGAACCCTGAGGCTCAGAGGGATCTTCCTGGTTGGTGACCACACATGGGAGAAGACTGTGTGTCCTTCCTTGGGACATGGAAGCTCCACACTGTGATCCCTCCCAGACCTCACCCTATGTACGTCTTCGTTTGTATTCTTTTTGGTTGTAATAAAGTTGTAGCTATAAGTATGGTATACTCTCCATGAATTCCGTGAGCCATTCCAGGCAACCAGGGAACCCAGAAGAGCAGTGAGAGACAGCAGGGGCTCGTGTCTACCTATTTGATAGTCTAAAAGATGGTGTCCATCTAATTTGTGAGCTCTGACTCAGTTCCGGGTGGCTAGGACTGGGGACAGAGCGTGCTGCATAAGCAGCTGGCGACGAGGATGGGGAAGTGGCAGGTGAGGACTGGATCCATGCCCATACTTTGGGGATTGGATTCATGCTGATCCTACCACGCAGTTAGCACAAAGGTGGGATTTGCCCATTGTGTTCCTGGCTTAGTGCAGATCCCAAAAGTTTCCTTAAACTTCTAACTAACTAAAACAACTTCTTCACTTTTAAACTAGTGAGGTGACTGCATACAAGTTATTTTTAATGCCTGGATCAACAGCCTTTCTCAGATAAAAAGCACTCTCACTGACAGTATCAGCATCACAGAGCTCACAAGACCTTTACCTCTAATAGAAAGCGCTTATCTTGTCAGAATCCAATGCCTGCCTATATGATTTTACATGCACATATACATTAGACATGTCACTTATATGATTTGGGGTCAGGCTGATACCTAAGTCCTGTACCCAAATGGAGCTGTTCAAATGTGCGAATGGACAGAAGACCTGAATGAGCTCATAAAAAGACTTAAGCAAATTAAGTTATTCAATTGAAAGCAGTGAGTAAATTAACTACATCAATTTAATAAGAGTCTCAGTATGAATTATTATACTTTCTACATTTCATTGTTTAAATCTTTACCTCTTGAAGGAGCAACCTGTGTGTACCTGAAAAGAGTCACCAAATTAAAACTTAACTTGTGAATTATTTTATACCACGGAGCTAAAATAATATTAAATGAATGATGAGGAAAAATATACTTTGTAATCAGAATCATCATTTAATCCCTATTTAGCAATGATTTCCGTCTCTCTTAACCCAGGCCCCCAAAAATAAAAAAATAAAAATCAAACAAACACACAAAACCCAGACAGACATATAGGTTCCTTCAGCACTAACAGTGACTCAAAGACTGAGTACAAAGCTCAGGAAATCCAATTAATGTGGAAAGCGCAGGGCAAGGGGTCAGGGCCAGGTTCAGGAGAGGCAATCGCTGGGAAGGAACCATTGACTCATGGACCAGAACACCAGTTCTGCACACAGTGTCAACACTGTCCTCCAGAGGCCACACACACAAGGAATGTGACTTGGGGAGAGCATCGAATGCTGAGGAAGAAACTGCTCGTTCTTAGGGATGTGCTGAAAGGGCAGCAGAGGGTACGAACGAACAACTCCAGGGGAGATTTTTGAATAACCCCTGAGTTTCTGAATTGGTCCCAGCTTAACAGAGGCTTGTTATTCGTAGTGTGAATGTGCTGTATTTGTGCACTGCTTGCAATCACCCTCTCTACTCAACTTCAAGAACAATCGTGAATGTGCAGTGTCCCCCAGAGTCACTGAGGCTCAGTTCCTAGCAGACACGGGATTGACATGCACTCTTGTGCCTTTTTTTTCTTTCTGTTGGGGTCAAATATAGACAACATAAAATTTGCCATTTTAACTATTTTTAAGCGTGCAATTCAGTGGCATCAGTTATATTCACAATGCTGTGCAACCAGCACCACTATTTATTTCCAAACTTTTTCGTCACCCCAAGCAGATATTCTGTCCCCACTGGACAATATCTCCCCATTGACTTCTCCCTTGAGCCCCTGGTAACCACTAATTTACTTTCTGTCCTATGCATTTACCTATTCTAGATATTTCATATAAATAAGATCATACAATATTTGACCCTCTGTGTCTGGTTTATTTCACTCAGCATAACGTTTTTCAAGGTTCATCCACATCGCGGCATGCATCAGGACTTTCTCTTGGCTGAATAATATTCCACTGTACGCACAGACCACATTTTGCTTATCCATTCATCTGTTGATGGACGCTTGGGGTGTTTCTACTTTTTGGCTATTGTGAATAATGCTGCAATTAACACTGGTGTGCAACTAACTGTTTGAGTCTCTGCTTTCAATTCTTTTGGGTCTAAACGTAGGAGTGGAATTGCTGAGTGCCTTTGTTTTTTGAGTACCATGACTGGCACACGAAAATCTAAAACAAAGCTTGGAGGGCAGTGGAAAATAAATCTGCTCTGTGCTGTAACTACAAGGTGACACCTGTCTATTGCCACTCCAGATACAGAGCCTGTCTTTGGGGAAATGTGTCACATAAAGCCTACATGAGGCCATCAGAGTCAGGTGCTGGTGCCTGTCACTTGCCTTTATCAGGCCCTTTAAAATTCAGTGATGTTTTTCAGAATAATTTTCCAGAGTGATCATTTTAAAAGTAAAGCTGAGAGGTATCTGGGTTGTCAATTTTTTATACAGCTAGCATTTTAGCAGGGGGAAGAGAACAGTCACGGTTTAACACTCCAGAATCGTTTCTGTTGACTTTTCTTAGTTGTATTACAACACCAATTGAGAGCAAAACAAAGCATTCATTAAAAATATACACAGTGTTCCGTGCAAGGAGAAATGAAGAAAAGACAGGCAAACACAGCTCAGACCCCGTAATTACCAAAACCGAAGGAGCACTGGCTCTTAGAGTTCTCGATAATTTTGCTGATAAGCCCTCGTCTAATTAATGACTCTTTTTCCAGCTAAAAATAGCAAAATGCATGCACAGATGGTGCTGTTCAACTAGAAGAGAACCCTCCCCTAAAGTCTCTCCAAGAAGATTCAGCAATTAAGAGGAGATAAAAATGCATCGTAGTTTTACATTGGGAAAACATTTCAACATTATTTTCAGTTTTAAAAAAATGCAGTGGTCGCTCGGAAACAAGTACTATTTGTGTCCTTGCCACCAGAAATTTCTCCGTTTCTCTTGCAGGGACTTTGGGTGCACTGCATTCTCTCTCGATTTCTCTTGATACAAAAGCTATGTTGCCTTAATAGGATGAAATAAGACTGTGATGTAATTCACCAAATATGAGATTTTCTTCTTCCAGAAAGCCCTCATAAGAGCAGACTGGAAGGCCTCAAAAAATCCTCTATAACACACAAGATGGTGAAAGGAGAAATGACAAAGGAGCCATCAAATAAATAAAATTTCTAGAAACGTTTTCCCTCTTTTATCTTTTGTTTCCCAAGCATACTGCCGGGGAGTGCCTCGGAAGGTGGTACTGCCGATTTTTGCTCTTTTTCATGTCCCTGGGAGGTGCAAAGAGTTAACATGCTCAGCTGCTAACTGAAAGGTTGGCGGTTCAAGTCCACCCAGAGGTGCCTTAGAAGAAAGGCCTGGTGATTTACTTCTGAAAATTCAACCATTGAAAACCCTATGGAGCACAGTTCTACTCTGACACACATGGGGTCACTGTGAGTTGGAATCAACTGGATGACAATCTTTTTTTTTTTCACATCCATAGCATCGAATGTCGAGTCCTATTCATCCATGCCAAGCAGCAACAAGACGTCATTCCTTAACAGCCCCAGAGGCTCACTGCCAGCATGTCAACTGCTTGGCTGATTAATACTAACTGATGAGGTAGCTTTTGGCCACATTCATTTTGGGTTTGGGTAAGGCTCGAAGCAAATGAAATGCCTCCTTCTCTAAAAACAATCAGACAACCAAATACAGCAAGGTTTTCTTTCTCCAGGCAGGGAGAGCTTAACGCGTTCCTGAGTCCGTCTCACCTTGAAGATACATTTCCTCTCCTTCTGTGAACATCTGGTTGCATCTGCTGCATCGTGCACAGCTGGGGTGGTAATGCTTGTCACCTGCCTGCAAGAGAAAAGGTGGTCAATAGTCAGTCTACTCCTTGTCATGGTTCCTGGCTTCTTTTCAGGGCTTGGACATTTGGGAGGGAAGGGGAAGATACTGGGGAAGGAAAAATAATTGTCCAACTGACCAAACTTCCTACCCAAACAGCCCCAGAAGCTAAGGTCAACCCCACTGACATGAGGAGGCTCTCAATGACTGCTCCTCACACCCGCCATGAGGGTGCCCTACCTCTTGAAGTCTCTGCCTTCCATTTCTCCCTTGACCCAGCTCTCCTGGGTGGCTGTCAGTTACAAACCATGTGCCTGAGATAGACCTACTCTGTCATAGATTGAATTATGTCCCCCCAAAAATGTGTGTATCCATTTGGCAGGGTCATGATTCTGAGTATTGTATGATTGTGTACCATTTTGTAATCTGACGTGATTTCCTTATGTGTTGTAAACTCTATCACTATGATGTAATAAGATGTAATAGATGGATCATTATACTGATGAGGTCTACAAGATTAGATAGTGTCTTAAGCCAATCTCTTTTGAGATATAAAAGAGAGAAGTGAGCAGAGACACATGGGAACCTCATACCACCAAGAAAGCAGTGCCAGGAGGAGAGCGTGTCCTTTGGGCCTCAGGTTCCTGCACTGAGATGCTCCCAGACCAAGGGAAGACTGATGCATCACAAGGACCTTTCTCCAGAGCTGACAGAGAGAGGAAGTCTTCCCTTGGAGCTGATGCCTTGAATTTGGACTGGTAGCCTACTGGACTGTGAGAGAATAAACTTCTCTTTGTTAAAAGTCATCCACTTATAGTATTTCTGTTATAGCAGCACTAGATGACTAAGACACATTCCGTTTCCCAAAAACCCCACCTCAAAAGCGTTATGATCTGAACTCATGTTGGAGGCTAACGGTCATTTGTGCTAAACCAATAAAAATAAATGACCTGTCTCACCCCTTCGGGAGCAAGGGAGAATGAAGAGAACAGGATACAAGGAAAAGATTAGTTCAAAGGACTAATGGACCACAGCTACCAAGGCCTCCACCAGACTGAGTCCAGTACAGCTAGATGGTGCTCAGCTACCACTGACTGTTCTGACTGGGATCACAACAGAAGGTCCTGGACAGAGCTGGAGAAGGATGTAGAACAAAATTCTAACACACACAAAAAGACCAGACTTACTGGCCTGACAGAGACTGGAGAAACCCTGAGTATGGCCTCTGGACACCCTTTTAGCTCAGTGGTCAAGTCACTCCCGAAGTTCACCATTCAGCCAGGGATTAGACAACCCCATAAAACCAAACAGGACTAATGAGGCACAGCAGTCCAGGGACGGGGACTGGAAGGCAGGAGGGGACAGGAAAGCTGGTGATAGGGAGCCCAAGGTTGAGAAGGGACAGTGTTGACATGTTGTGGGGTTGTTAATCATTGTCATAGGGCAATATGTGTGCTGTTTAATGAGAAACTATTTTGTTCTGTAAACCTTTATCTAAAGTACAAAAACAAAAAGAATTATCTATGTGAGATCAGATTGACAACAGCAACTCAAAAGGTTTGATGGGAAGCCAAGGGGACAGTGAGTTGAAGACAATGGCGATGGAATAATTTGGAAAAGGATAGTGAGAATAGCAGCACAAATGGAAGAATGTAATCGAGGTCACTGAATTGTACATGTAGTAATTTTTGAAATGGTGTATCTTTGGCTATGTATATTTTCAGCAAAAAAAAAAAGGTCCTTCAAGGTCGAGAAGGGAGAGTGTTGACACGTCATGGGGTTATTAACCAATGTCATAAAACAATATGTGTACTGACTGTTTAATGAGAAACCATTTGTTCTGTAAACCTTCACCTAAAGTACAGTAAAAAATAAATAAATTAAAAATAAATAAATCAATAAATGACCCCTGTCATTACAATAACCAAAGGCTCTTGCTTTCTTGACTAAACAATCTGAACAGAAAAAAATCTATCCGGCTTGCATCAAGGTGAGAAAAACCATAGTAAAAGACGGCATTCATTGCTTTTATCTTAGAAGGAGCCCAGATTCTCTTCAATGCTGTTTACAATGATCTTTTGCTTATGTCTTACATTAGGAGTTTTCTGAAGAAGGTGTTTTACTGAGGGCGCTCCACCTTATTCACAGGCATTTCACATTCCTAAATATGACAGATGCCACCACAGCAGGTGCTGACTTCCCCAAAGCGCAGCGTCACTGGACTTGGGGACAATTCTCTAGACAGGTGCCAAGTCACATTAGAGTCACGCTCCATATACATGCTCGACGAAATTGAAATCCTCTCATTCACAGCTTAGCAATAAATCGTCACCACCTAAAAATTATCAAATGTAGTGTGGGGTTAAATCGTTTCATCAGCCAACCATGAGAACACTTCTTGTGCGCTAACCATGCACGAGCCAGGCTGAGAGGTCAGAGTTCGTAGAGGCTGCACCCTGCGTCAGAGCCTGTGTGAAATCTCAACAGGAAGTCAGGGGTCAGGTAGGGATTTCTTTCTCACACTCTCCTGTGGAAAGTACAAAAGCCCCTTAGCAATCAGAGCATGAGATGGTGGTCAGTTACTCAAGATAATCACATGGAAAAAAAAAACAAAAAACAAACAAACAGTGAAGTGATTTAAAATTGGAAGCCAAGAATGAAATCTTTTTCAGTAGTGCCTGCCGGAAAGTTCCAGAAGGGCTGCTTTTGTTCTTATCCACACGCTAACGTTTTGGGGGTGAGGCAGGAGTAAGAAACGTCAACACAGAGTTGCTCCTGCCCTTAGCCCATCTGGGTCAAGTGTGAACAGAGGAGGAAGAGAAAAGATTTAAACAGTTGCCGTCAAGAGGTCTCCGACTCACGGCGACCCGGTGTGCGCGGGGTGAATAACCTGGCCTTAGCAATGGTGAAGAAATGTGAGGCATTATCCCTGTTAGGCATGTGTTTAAGGTGCGGGACTCAGTCCCTGGGTAGTGCAAATGGTTAATGTGCTCACTACTAAACAAAAGGTCGGCGATTTGAGTATATCCAGAGACTCCTCAGAAAAAGGCCTGGCGATCTACTTCTGAAAAATCAGCCGCTGAAAACCCCATGGAGGACAGTTCTACTCTGACACTCATGGGGTCGCCATGAGTAGGAATCGACTCAACAGCAACTGGTTACAGATGAGGAAGCTGAAGCCTGGAGAGGTTTAGTAACTTGTCCATGGCCACACAGCTAGAAGTGGTGGCACCAGGATTTAAACCCAGACAGTCTGGCTCTGGAGTGCAGGTTGAAAACTAGCTGCTGTTGCTGTTAACTGCCACTGAGTTGAACCCTGACTCATGGTGGCCCCATGTGTTACAGAGTGGGATTGCTCCATCGGGTTTTCTTGGCTGTAATCTTTACAGAAGCAGTACACCAGACCTTTCTTCCGTGGAGCTGCTGGGTGGGTTCTAACTGCCAACCTTTATGTTAGCAGCTGATTGCAAACCGCTTGCACCATACCACAGCTAATAACCACAGGGTACTACACTGCTGTAACCACTCCACGGTGACACTGGGGTAAAAGGCCAAATGAAATTTTGAAATAATGATAACAGGAATAACAGCCTAATACCCCTCTACACAGAGATGGTTCCAGCACCATTCACAAAGAGAAGGCTTGCTAGCATGGGTCGGGAAGCTGGTGAAAGGCTCCCTGGATGCCCACCCTTTCCCAAGGGCAGGCAGAGGCGAGCAAGTACGCTGGAGGAGCTGTTGTGCACAAAGGACGTAAGCTACATCAATGCCCCACGCGGCAGGGCTTTGCTCTAGAAATCATGAGCGAAAACACTGCTAAGAAACAACGCCCTCACCAGGTCAGGGGACAGAAATCTTGACCCATGTACTTGCTTCACCCCAAGATGCTGAACGTGTCTACAAAGTCAGTGAGCGAGAGCCAAAGGGCAGCTGTACAGCCCTTCCCGAGTCCTCTGCTTTTGTAGCAATACCGGCCTGGGGGCTGCAGGGTTGGTGCTCCAGGACAAGGGAACCGGAGGTCTGTCCTTGTTACTGACCTGCCTCCTGCTGGATCTGGATATTACTGAAGATAAAAGGCCCAGTGCAACCCTCAAGGGAATAGCACTATTGCCTTTCAAGGCCTTTTCTCAAGTTTCTACCCCAAAAGAAACGACTGGTCTCAGTAAAGGGTATTTACCCCTTTGCGTGTGTGAGCTACCCTCCGTTGGTTTCATTTCTCCTTGTTCAGGCGCCCATGACAGTTCCCAGACAAGCCCTGCTCACAGGGCCAAGAAAAGTACCAGAGCTGGACCCAGACACGGGGTCACATGCAAACTAACAAAAAATGGATGTCACTGTACCAAAATCATTCAAACTGGAGTCATTCTGAGAAGAAAGGGAAAGTATTTCAAACTGTGAGCAAAATGAAAGACTAAATAGCGTCCAAATGAGAAATCGGCAATAAACATGCAATGTATTGGGTAGAGGAGGCTGTTGATTATAAAGCCTTGCAGCACAGTCTGGGCTTCGTTGTGGCAGGTGATGTCATAAGTGATGGCTACTGGGCGCCTGGCCCAGGCACACAACGGCTAACACTAGCTGTGCCTGAGCCCAGAGGTCAGATGCTCCACGGGGGCTTGTCAGGGTTCTGTCGTCACTATCCCCCATCCATCTCTGCACCTCTCTACTTTAAGAACCTTTACAACCTCATTTTCACATATTCAAACTGCACATGTTAAAAGTCTGTATTTTGGCTTGCATTAAACTCTGTGAACAATAAACAATTTGCTTATATAGTTGAGTTTACAAAGTACCTGCCTATGCATTCAAAGTGCTAAAAACTGCTTGCCTTTAATATTGCTGATTAAGCCAGTCTTCTGTGGTTATTACTACTATTTGGTTAAGTTCTAAATTAAAGTGTGAACTTTAGCACACAAGCTGGAATCCTGCGGAAATACTATCCACTTTAAGGCAAAATTTGATGTAAGGCAGTGTTATGAATTGAACTGTGTCCCCCCAAAATGTGTGTCAAC